TGTTTTTGCTTGAGGTTTTCTAGAATCTTATGATATTTGGTAATGAGATACCTTGTTAAGTTTGCCTATTTTCATTGATGTGTTTGATAAGAAATAGCATATCAGTTTATGTGTTTATAGTTGCATATTTTCCTTGGTTATGAATAGTTTGATTTGATGAGTATTATTCATAGTTGAGTATTGATTTGGGTGATTGTTCGAGTTTGTTGAAGGGTTTAGTTCAATTCAATCTTTAATTGGATTATGTACATATGACTTGGATTTGAGTTCATAAGATAGTATTCATGTGTAACGATATTTTTGTTTGTGATATTTCCACATTATTTTGAGTTTCATATTTAAAAAACTTTATTCACACTTTATGTGATGGTTCCACTTATGAAATTTGTTTAGTCTATGAAATTGCAATCACATGTACTTGAAAGAATATGATTGAAGAAAATGATAGGAAATTTGATATTTTGAATGGATGAAACGATAATCGTCCTAGGTTTCCTATTCTATATTTGATGGTTGAAGATGTTTTAGCCATTCCACTATCTACATTGGCTTGCGAATTTTGTTTTAGTTCAAGTAGATTTTTTAGAAGTTACTTCAAAAGTAGTTTACGCATTGATTTATGCTTGAAGTTTATTCCATAATCCTATAAAATAAATAATGGACGAAACTAAAGAAATAGGACGACCATGAACCAGTTGAGGTTATAATATCCTTAAAATTATTAAACTAATATTTAAAATTATAGCATTTATTGCTACCAACAATTAGTTATTTTCGTTTTTCACTTGCCAACTGCAGATTTCAGTTCAAAGGAGAGTGTTGTGAATTTGGATTTACCATGGTATATCATCTTCCCTATGTCAATAAAGAAATTTTCCTTGTTTAATTTTGGGGTTAAAATTTTAGATATCGTTAATTGAACTTATCTGATTTACTACTTGATAGTTACTTTTTATTAGCATTTTCAGAAATAGGTGTGAAGCTTTGATTTACTTTTTTTGTTTTGTTTTGTGTTAGATATTGCATACTGAGTTTAAAGGATTAAAGAATTTGGAAATCATTTAAATAGACCTGTATCTTCGTTTTGTTGAAGGAAAACTTTAAAATAGGTTGATTTGCTCAAACTTTTAGATTGTTATTTGAAGTTGATGTTGGATATTAAATTTTAAATTAGATCATTGTCTAATGTTAGACCAAGTTGATGTAACGCCTCCCTAACATGACAAGCGGTTATGGTTATTAAGATGAATTTTATTCGGCAAAAATGAAGAAGACAGAGGAATTACAGAAGATATGGGTTTGTAGAAACTGAGTTAGGAGAGCAACAATCAAATATGTACTTTTATAAAAATAATAGAAACATTCATGGAGATGAGATGTTTGCATGGCAGTAATAATAATCAATGTCAAATGGTGAATATTATTCCATAACGGTTAATATAAACGAAATAATTCTGTACTGATGGTTAATACTTACCAACCAATTCGGGAGAAAATTGAGCTTCCGATAACAACCACCTATACAATTTTACATTGGTCGTGATTAGTGCCACGTAAGTATCCAATATCCATTAATGTTTTCATTCTTTTCATACTCTTACCCGATTGTTTATTTCACAATTCACCTTCAACCCACATCTTCTGTTATTTTCCTGTCTCTTTTATATCTGCCAAATTGAATCTATCTCAATCACAACCACTAGTCATGTCAGTTGGTTGTCATTGCCACATTCCCAATTTTTAGGTACGACTTTTGAATTTTTCACAAAAAATTATCATTATATTCGTAATTTAACGATTTAACCGTTTAAAATTAGTCAACCACAGAATTACATCCTTGCTTGAGATCTTATACTTAATTGTACATACGAATTAATATGAACTAAATACAAAAGTTTTATGCAATAATTGTTGCAATTCATACCAAATTATAACAGAAACTCTTTATTCACCATGTTTTCTCAAAATTGGGGCACCAAATGATAGCATAGCCATTCATGCATTTCTAATTTTCTCTTCTTTACTTGCAAATAATGCAGATGTCAAAATTCCAACTTACATGTAACTCTCAATTAAAATATGTGTTTGGGTCATAGGTTACTTGATTGAGGAACCTTTCAAAATCTAAATTGATACTTTTTTGGAACTAATAAAGCAAATTGAAGAAACGCTCTTAATCACTATTAGACTTGGCTTTAGTATCTGAGTTGGTATCAGGTCATGACATTTGTCCATGCATATTGCTCAATCACATGAAAGTATGGGTAGTGGTAATTGGAAACCGAAATGAACATCTAAGAAAACAACCAAAAAAGCAAACTCAATTAATAGGAAAAAAAACATTAGGAAATAACTTTTCTGGACAAATCAAAATATTTTTTTTGATCAGAAGTTGAAAATCAATCATGTTATCAATAATTAGTGTATCAAGATAAACATTTTATTGGGAAGGTATCCTCAAAACAACAAAAATCAATCCAAATTTAAAACAACATATAATTAAAACAACATATAAAATCAAAAAAAAAAAAAAAGAATGTAAGAGAAGAAAAAGAACCATACCATGAACTTAACCACCAGTATAATCGTCACGTTATGATACGCGTGGCAAATGATGTTCAATTCTATTTTAAGAGAGTATAAATTACAATTGTTAGACTTGTTTACTTGATGACATTCAAAATATCATCCATTATTTTTCTAAGATTGTTAGGAGGGTTTTCATCATTGAGATCTTCATATCATTTTCATATTCATCAACTCCTTGAACACCATTTCCTCGGAAATCACCACCACCTCATCCTTGATTTATTTGAGATCGATTCCTAGCTAAAGTACCAAGTTGATTAATTATGGTTTTTTGTTGCGACATCTAAGCGATCAACATCTTGACTTGAGGAATTCATTAACAACATCCTTTAACATTCCTGAGTTGAAAAGGAACATTATTGTTTAACAGTTACACAATAAAACACAACATAATAAAAGAGATTTGGAAGAACTTAGGCTCTGTTTGGGTTTTGAGTTTTGTTTTAATTTTGTGGGTTTATACTTTTATATTGTTGCAAAAACATGTTGGGTTATTTTATTGCTCAAGATGTTCAGATCCGGCAGCCGGAAATGAATTTATAGCAAGATTTGGGACGGAAATGACAGTAGAGTTGAAAAAGGAAATTTTAGAATCAATTCGATTATCAAAATATTCCGTGGACCCAATTCAGAGTTGAAGTTTGATTTGGAAAATGCAAAAAAGAAACAAAAAAAACCCCGATTTGGAATAATAAAGTTCCAGTACATGACAATCCACCCCTTAGATTGAGTCTTGACCTCAAGGCTGTTATTATAAAAGTTCAAAGTGAAACAAAACAAAAGAACATGCACATTGCCTTATCAAGGCCGACCTTAGCATGAAACTTTTTTTCTCAAATAACCCTATTCATAAAATTATTTCCATGAGTAACCTAATTATAAATCATATTCCTTCCCTGATTTTAGTCTTGCCATGTACACTTTTAATCACCATGATGGAAAATAAATGAATATATAAATTTTAGGATTAGTTACCTTTACACCTTCCAGTATTCTCATTTTTACAAAGATTTCTTTTTTCCCTTTCTCCCTTCTCTATTTTTTAGTGTTCACAAAGATTGAAATTAGAATTCTAACGGCAATCAATTGCGAATTGTTATTCTGTATGGTCTCTGTTGTCAAAGGGATTTGATAATTTTTGTAATAGTGTCCGATTCAAAGTTGTCGCTCGCTTTATTATCTTCAACTTGTTGCCGGCTATGTGCCGCATCTGAACCGATAAGTCATCTTAGTTCCTACTGAATGCTTTTTCGGCTTCCAACGTTTGTGAGTCTAGGGAACACACAGAGGAACGTTGCATCGAAGGAAAAAGTACTCAAAATGCATTTTGACATTTTATCAAACATCCAACAAGCAATAATTTCTCATGATATAAACATCCAACAACTCTTGAAGGTAACATTTTGTATGGTATGTCAGCAAAAGACTTCTTTTTTTTTTTCTTTTTTTTTTTTTTTACATTTTAATGATCACTTGGTTATCTTACATCAATGTTTTTAAAGGAGTCAAAATGCGAGAATCGTTTATGAAGTTAAACGAATCAGATTCGTTAAGAGCAAAAGTTTCAGAGGTTGACAAGTTTGATAAATATCAAGAATAGAGGTACAAACTTTACAATCAAGCAGGCTTGATGGAGTTCTATGCAACCAAGAGCGTAAAGAGTTCCAAAATGTTGATAGTGTTTTCATGGCTTCCGATCCAGCTACATACGAAAAGGAAGGAAAATTTTTTCCTCATGTTTAAAAAACATACAAAAAGAAACAACTTCTCTAGGAGTAGAATAACAATGTACTTAAACCATATGTAACAACTTCTCTAGAAGTAGAATAACAATGTACTTAAACCATATTTTAGGATATAACATTTAATATTGTCACGCGTCGAGGAAAAAGAATTAAATAAGTTCCTGAGGCCAGTGAGGCCAGTGGTTCTGCAGTCACTATTTGGATTCTCTTGAAAGTATGTTTCCACTCTAAATACTTGCTTATTAATTTTTCTCTACTAAAGTGCAATTTCTAACATAAATCATGTATGGATGAAGTAATTTGAAGCAATGAATTTTTTTTTTATCAAATTGTTGTGAGAGAATTGAAGCATATAAAATAATACCCTAAAAAATAACATAAAATTTGTGATCCTTACGAAATATGAAGGAATAAGGAGAATTACTCGTAGACGATTTATATTGCACCGGAAAAGGCTGAGGTTTCGATGTGGAGCACGGGTCAACGGGGAGCTGAATTAATTGTGCTGCCTGTAGTAAAGTCGGTAGTTTAATCAATTCACACAATTTTGCTACGAGGGTGGTGAAAGTAAAAAAAATACCGTAAAAGAAGCCAACATTACCAATGAAAAAAAACTGCCATAAAATTCTAAAAATTGTCTGCGCAAGCGCAGCTAATACACTAGGTCTAGGTTGCCACCACTTGTTTTTTCAACACTAGCGCTCGCCGGCAAGTCGGACACGATAACATATTCAGGCACCGAAACTCAGTTAGGAGCCACCGGTCAATACATACAGCATGAAACAGATGCCCGCATGGCTGTGCAATCTTGACATGTTCACCGGTCACAATCTTTGCTAGACAAATAACACAATCGTCACGTTGAATATCGACTGATGGAGGAGGGAAGGGTGATGTCGAAATAGAATTGATAGCAACCTTGATATTGTGTTCCTTTTGGTTGCCGCGGCGGATGCAGATGACTACCATGATGAAGACACAGACTGCGACGACAACCAAACAAATAATTTCAATTCTCACCGCCTCTTTGGGCTTTGGCGAAACCGGCCACATCTTCTTTATTCCCTCTTCTTTTTTTTTTTTGGCATTTGACAACAAAAACAAATTAACCTAAGACACGATTGCTGGCTTTACAAATTCCAGATCGTCAATGTGCGAAGGCCCTTCTGATCAATACAATAGAATGTGTACCAAGCCTCTCTTAAATAGGTTGCTGGATAAGTAGTCCTAGATTTTCCCGAAAACAAGTTGTAAACAAACTGGAAGTCTCTATTGACAATGTGGCATTTAGTGTCCAAACGTTATATGGATATGGATTCACTTTTTCCCAACCCAATTTCAGTTCCTTCTCTTATCGAACACAAACAAAGTGTAGCATGAAATGATATTTATGATTTTGATCCCATAAAATTTGTAATCACATGATCGCGTCAAGGAGAACATCTGACCAAATTACATTGTCCAATTACTGCTGTTTAATTGATCAACAAAAGTTTTAATTAAAACTCACAACATCGGTTGATCAAACTGTCGCGCCAAATCGGATGACGGATAAGTTGATAGATAACTTGATCAATGAAACAAGACAACTGCAACCTCTTTGTTATTTACTGTATTAGTTTTTGGAAACCTGGTTCGACCTTTTCCTAGTGAAGGATAACTCAGAGAGTCTCAGGTAGGTATTCAATAGATCCACATTTCTCAGAAAATCATCACAGAGACGGAAAGGTATTCTCCTCAGAAGGACTCAAATACTACCAAGGATTAAAGAATAGTGATGGCCATGGCGGCCTTCATAAATACCAGATTGCGGAGTTAATTTTAAGGCACCCTCTGCACTCAAAGATTGAAAGACTAGAAACCCAAGCACTGCAAATCTCAGAAAATTTAAGTTTTGCTAGAGCAAAACATATAGTAACATCAAGTTTCCAGATAAATACGTAATACAGAGCAGTGCAAAAGAACATCAAAAACTGGACTCCACATCCCAAACCTTTCAACAAATGCATCTACCGGTTATCATCATCAAATGCAAGCTGCTTCAGGAAATATTACCAAGTCTCAAGTTACAAAAAAGGCAAGTACACAATCCTCCTCTCTAATTATTCTTCTGAGGCCAACCATTCATTTGTTCAGCAGTTGTAAATTGCTCTTAGATAAGAATTGATGAAATATGTGTCATTCAGCAATCTTTGGCACATCATATGTTGAAACCAAGAGGATAAATAGATTATATATAATTGAGAACTAACTAGTCCCACAATTTTCGTAAACCATGAAGAAGTACTATCCAGCAGTTTTATTACTGCAAATGCAATGTCAAAAGACAAACTTCTGATTTCTAATGCAATCAAATTTGATTTCTAAGCCAAAACACAAAAAATTCTAAATGAACTTGGTAGAGGGCAAAATAAGGCATTAAACTTTCATGAGATGTATCGGTCACCATTTACAATACATAACACAAATGAGGACAGAAGATGAGATCATGTATAAATTCTTAGGACCTAAAAATCAACGTGCCTAAGAAACGATAACATAGACGAGGTTTCCAGCACTTGCAGTACATTGAAGGAATGACAAAGCTAAACATCACAAAAAGCTGAAGACAGTCATACCGCAGAATATCAAAACTCACACTATGAGAAACTACCTTCTCTGCATTAACTGACACAAATCACAGAAAAACAAAGAAAATTTCTTAAACAAATGTTTTATTTGCAGTCAAATAAAAATTTTTAGTTCAGGCTCCTAGCACCTTAGAAAAAACTTAGCCCATACAATCTACAAATTGTAAAAGTGCTTACCAGGAAATATAAGTGAAGAAACATAGCAGAACAATGCTGTGATCAAAACTACTAACCTAAAAGGTTCAGTGTTCGTGTCACCTGACCACATTCAATAACCTACAATTAGTCCCCAGGAATAACATCGAAATTAAGATATCAACTGCTACAAGACTTGATATATTAAACAGGAAACTTATGATTAACAACTAATCTCCCCCGTCTCCACACATTTAATTTAGATACGAGTTGCAAAAATAAATCAGAAGCAAGAGAAAACTTACAACGGTAGCACATCACTAGATATGTTCATAACTACAAATGTAAAACAATGAAAAGATATAATCGCAGCAACGCAAGTTTCTTTTTATACACAAGCTGACTTCAGAGTAACTGTAAAAAGAATCCCGGCCACGGCGGGGTCAGGAAGTAGAGACCATACATGAACAACAAACAAATTGCAATTACTATTGACACAAAGGAGAAATGGGGAAATCTGTATGAAATGGAGAACAAGCTTGCTCCACTATATGCATCACACATTCCAACCACAGAAGTGACTCAATAGACCATTTGTTTTGCAGCCTCAACCTGATAAGGGGTGCCATCAATATGCACAGTCCTCTCTGTTGATGATTACCAGGAGGAAATGCAAAGGTGTCACCAGCAAAAAAATTTAATATACAACTTGTTCAGGTAAATTAAGTCATCAACTCATGTAGGAGTAATACCAAACAATCAACATCAAGAGAGTTAAAAAGATGGCACCTAATCATCAAAGGTCTAGTATAAAAACCCATTCATTAACTGAAACTGAACGGGAACAACCACAATGAAAGCCACAACCAAGTGCAAATTTAACACATTGCGTCTTTTATTACCAAATGAACTTTGTAACAAGAATCATGCATGGCTAGCACATCACCACTTCTCAAAGTTCGAGCACATACAAAGATTCATGCAACTTAACAGCCGTTAAAATATCGTTTATTCCCATCATATGATTTAACAATGAAAAAGCACCAATTTATGAGACGCTGGAGACCTTACTTTTTGCACCAATGAAGGAAATCCTTCTGCCGGTTGATTTTCTTCTGCGGCTGGAGAAGCCCATGTAGAAGGGCCTCAGCAGAAGGTAAACAGCCAGGAACATAAATGTCAACCGGAAGAATCCAGTTGCAACCAATAGAATCAGAATAATGTTAATAGCCACCACCTTTTGCACAGCTTCCCAATTTATATTACCCACCAATGCTCAGGCATTCAATAATAGACTCTGCTAGACAGATTTCAAAATACGTTAGCAATCACGTTTAAAAGCTCCCAAATGTGCAAGTAACATGCGTAAAAAGGATCCCCATCATTGCAAATAAGAAGCAACCAAAGAACATAATGCTTGTAAGGTTAAAAGCCCACCAAAATTTAAAAGAGTGATTAAAAAGTAAGATCAAGTTCAAAAATGCAGAAATCTCATTTAACAGACTTATTTCAACTGTGGTATTCTTTCAAGCACAACATTTTGCACCATAGTACTACATCCCGGCCAACCAAAAACTCCACCCAAACGCCAGTCCAGCTCCAAAAACGAAGAATCAATGCCCAAGTTAGTCCAAACTCCTCAAAAACAAGTTAACAAACAAAAACCCTGAATCACAAATATAAATTACACTCAATATGAACACTAACAAAACAATGATGACTAGCACCTAACGGGATTAACGATAAAATAAACCTGGTTAGGAAAAGCAACAAGTAAAGGGAAAAAAACAACAGAAATGGCATACTTGCGAAAAGAGCAGGAGCCATCTAATTGGTAAGAGTTCCGGCAAGACTAGCTAGGGAATGGTCCAAATCGCAACAAGCGGCGCCGGTGGGCATCAAGTCGACGACAGAGCAAGCGAGCCCAAAACTATGGGCCAACCGGACCCACGGCAATCCCAGTTATCAGATCATTTTTTCTACCTTCGCGATCACACATTGCATTGCCCTGGGAAGGAGGCCGATCGATGGAGGTGTTGTTCCTGCATAAATCGAATTTGCAGAAAACAATCGAGAGAAAGCCATCGGAGGGCGATAGGAACTGCCGCCGGTAAACCGACCTCCTCGTGCAGCGCCGTTGGAACTTTGAAAGATGAATTGGACGAGCTGTTTGTTTAAAATGGTGTTTTTGGTCAACGATGAAATTGTAAAAGTCAGTCACCCAACAACCAAATGAAAGGGAAATATGTAGCGAAATACTAGTTATTGTTATTATTTATTAATTTCAACTTTTAATAGGAGTACTACAAGTTATTATATTAACCTAAAAATAGCATTGAATTTAATAATTATTTTTGGAGGGTACTCGTTACTACACAATGTGGTGCCTCAAATTGCAATATCAAAATTTGACTAAATGTTTCGGAAGGAACTGAAACATGAGAGTAAAACTTGGAAATCAAAGAAATTTTCCCAAGCTTATGGGAAGAAAGTCTGTTGACCCCTTTCTACTGAATATGGACATGATTTTTTTTTTTTTCGGTCGAAAAAGGAGTTTTATACATTACTTTAGATAACAATCCGCTGGGATAGCTTACCCTTACGATATCATGATTAAACCATGGTAAAATTTCTGAAGACACCGAATCCAAGTATGTTAGGCCACCCGGATTCGTCGCCGCCAAAGATGCCAAAAAATCTGCTACCATATTACATTTTCTATGGGAGTGGTTGACTTTGACCACCCAACTTCTAGACAAAAGCTCCTTAATCGCTCTGAGAAGGCCTATGTGAGAACCAGGCTGCCTATTGCCTTCGCTAAGCATTTGTACGACGCTTAGGTTATCAACTTCCACCTCCACTTCTCTATATCCCAAGTCCCATGCTAGCTTCAGCCCTTGATACAAGCCCCACATCTCAGCCCCTGTTATTGAACAGTACCCAATATTCATCAGAAATCCTCCCCTCCATCTTCCATATCGATCCCTTATGGCTCCCCCAGCTGAAGCAAGCCCTGTATCCCCTGAGACAGCCCCATCGGAATTAACTTTGATCCGATCTCCTGCAGGAGGCTTCCAAAACAGCATGCGAATCTCCTTGTTGCTGTTCGTGGCTCCCATTCGTCTGTTGTGTCGGATTGCATCTTTCACCTGCCGAACCTTCCTCCATATTTCCCTGTTCTTCGAGAAACTTTGGTGGTCCTGGTTTTGAAAAACGAAATCGTTCCTCCAGCTCCATATCTTCCAAGCTGTAACCCCAAATATCAACGGCCAATCCTCTGTCCGCAGGAGTCTATTTTGTAGATTGCCAATCATCCAGTCAAGGTGATCATGGGCAAAGAAAGAAGCCTATAGATTCAGAGGGACAATGGAGCACCAGACCTCCCTAGTTGCCGGATAATCCCTAATAGCGTGGATCACCATCTCTTCAATACCGTCGCAGGCTAGGCATGATACGTTAATGGTTAGATGTCGTCTTCCCCGTTCCAAATTGGTGAGAATTTTTCTCTTTGCCAACAGCCAGAGAAAAGTTCTTATGCGTTGTGGCCCATCCCAGCTCCAAATCTGTTTCCAGATTACCTCCCTTCCTCCTTGTTCATCGCCCATCAGAGCCCCATACGCCGATCGCACCGTAAAGATCCCCTTGGAATCATGTGCCCAGTAGAATGAATCCTTCCCCACCAAAGGATTGGGTGGCATGGTTGACGCAATTTTTAACAGAGCCGTAGTAAGGAGTGCGTTGGCAAACATTTCCCATCTCCACCGGCCCTACTCATCAACAAATTGATTCAGCGTTAGCTTCTTTTGCTCTTCTTGAATCTGGGTAGTTGTTATAGTGTGGAGTGGTGGAAGACCCAGGACCCATTTGTCGACCCAGAACTTAGCTTCCAATCCATCATGAATAGCCCAGTGCAGCCCTTCTTTTACGCTGTCCCATGTCTTTTGTATCCCTCTGAAACATGCTAAACAATTGGCCTTTTCCTTCAGGTCCAGCCCACTACTCAACTGGATATTATATTTTGCTCTTAGAACCCTACCCCAAAGAGCCTCCGATCCAGTAGCCAGCTGATATCCCAGTTTCATAACAAAGGCTTTATTCATTTCCCTTTGTCTTTTGAGGCCCAATCCACCACTTTTTTTCTCCTTGCAGACTTCGCCCCAAGAAACCAAGATTGACACCGGTAGCAAGGTCAATTGCATCGCGTAATATGGCAACACGCTAAGGACCGATTGAGCAAGGGTAACCCGTCCACCAAACGATAGCTTTGTCGCCACCCAACCATTGAGTCTCTTCTCCGCCTTTTCCAAAATTGCACCGTACGTACCTCTGGTGGTTCTGCCATGCAATAAAGGCATGCCCAAATACTTCCCTAGATCCTCTGCCACGACGAAACCCATTCTGCTTGCCATTTCTTTTATCCTCTCACAGTGAGTGTTTTGGAAAAAATGGGCTCTTGTTTTTGTGGCACTCACCTGCAATCCTGACGAGATACTAAATTCACGTACTGTCTCCATGATCACCTCCACCTGGGATTCACTTGCTTCCGAGAATAAGAAAATATCGTCCGCAAACATCAAGTATGGAACAACTATCTTTTGCCTCCCGAATTTCATAGGTTTCCATTCCCCGGACTCGACCTTCTTATTGATGGCATGGCCAAGCCTTTCTATGCACAAGACAAAGAGATATGGGGATATTGAGTCTGAAACTATCTGAAGGCTGGCCATTCCAAAGCACCTGCATCGAGGCTGTGGATACACAACTCATTATAACTCGGATCAAAAGCTGTAGCAGCCCAACTTGTTGAAGAGTTTCCTCGATGAATTTCCACCGGAGCGTGTCATAAGACTTCTCCAAGTTAATCTTGATTGCCATAAACCCTTTTTTCTCCTTTGCGTTCCTCATTGTGTGTATCGCCTCCTGGGCCACCATAATGTTTTCATTTATATGGCGACCCGGTACAAAGCTGGTCTGAGCGGGGCCAATGATGTTGGGCAGAATAGTCTTTATTTGGGTGGTTATCAGCTTCATTGCAACCTTATAGACAATGTTGCAGAGGCTGATGGGTCTGAATTGCCTAATGTTATCCGGATTCTCAGTTTTGGGGATGAGGACTATGAAGGTTTTGTTATGATTCTCAGGAACTCCATCACCCGCAAGGATTTGGCACACAGTTCTACGTACTGAATGGCCTACTACCTGCCAATATGTTTGAAAAAATAAGGCATGCAAGCCATCGGGGCCAGGTGCCTTCAACGGGCTCATCTCTTTTAGTGTTTGACATATTTCATCATCGGTGACCTCTCTACTCAATGCCCGAATATGGGTGGATTCAAGCTCCGGGAAACATTCCTTCACCCTATAGGTAGTGTAGGGTTCCAGACTTGCCCCGTACAGGTTGTGAAAGAACTCCGTTGACATGGATCTTAATTGCATCTGGTCTTGTACCCATTCTCCCGCATCATTGCGTAGCATCCCAATCCTGTTTCTACGGCGTCTGCCCTTGGCATAGCAGTGGTAGAAAGTAGTGTTTTTATCTCCATCCATGTTCCACTGTCTATTAGCTTTCTGCATCCACAAAGACTCCTCCTGAAGAAGGAGCAGATCTAATTCACCCTGTATCTCGTGTTCCAGTTTAACCAGCCCAACCGAGTCTTGTGTTTCCCTTGCTTTTTGTATCCCGGCCAACCTTGCCATCGCCTTTTTTTTCTTTTTGAAAATGTTTCCAAAGACCTCCCTATTCCATGTTTGGGCAGCATTCGCAAACATCGATGCTGCCTCCCCATATTCAGCTTCCCTATTCCATGTATTATCCATAAACTTGGGAAAATCATCATGTAAGAGCCATGTTGCCAAGAAATGAAGTTGGCTCTGTCCCCGCTACCATTTCTCATTTCGACCAAAGGAGACTCATAATGGGTTGTGATCAGATTGCCTTTTTGGTAGATGAAAACACATACCATTTGGGTACCGGTCTAACCACTCACCATTACACAAAAATCGATCTAGCTGTCTCTATAACTTCCCACTTTTCCAAGTGAAATGCACGCCATCAGTCTTGATTTCCTGTAGCTGGTGTTCAAAAATCCATTCTACAAGCAAAGAACAACAAATTCTCCTCCTCGTCGTACTCCCCCGACTCTCCGATACATACAAAATACTGTTAAAGTCGCCCCCTACTAACCATGCCCCATTTACTGTTCTAGCAATTTGCCCCAACTCCCTCCAAACCTCTCTACGCACCCCAGGTACAGGGTTTGCGTATACAAATGTTACAAAGACTTCCTTCCCACCCTGCATTATTTTTGTCTGTATGAATTGCCTATTACCTTGTAATACCTCACCTTAACTGACTCTCTCATAAAATCCAAATACCCCCAGCAAACCCAATGGCTTCCACCCTAAAGGACCTATCAAATCCACTCTTCCCCACAAAAAAATCGGCCTTACGCCCACTGATTCTAGGCTCTAACAAAGCCACCACTTCGGGTTTTTGATTTATCACCATATCAGCAAAAACTCATCTAAAGGGAGCTGACCCTGCCCCCCGGACATTCCATCATATTATTTTTATATTCATAAAATAAATTTAGGAAGTAAATCTGGTACCTTGACGCTACATCATACGCAGGGCTGGAGCCCCTTGCATGTCGTCTTATTCCATAGTTGTCAGCTCCGAGGAGTGAATTGGCCGGTCCACCTCTTCGTCGATCTGCTCTTTCTCCGGTTGAGCCTTTCTAAGGTGACTTCCACCTTCAGCTCCGCTGTCCTCCAATTCATCATTCCCCGCCTCTATCTCCATTACCGAATTCCCACTCACCACCGGTTGCACAACCACTGCCGTATGTTTCCCGGGATCAAGGTTGTTTGGCACGACTGTGGCATTTGGAAACTCTGGCACCGAATGACTCTCCTGCAACTTCTGAGTAGTACTGTTTTTGACGATGTCGTTATTTTCTTTTTATGGGTGGCTCCTTTTTTTTCCTGGACTTGTGTTGGGCTCATGATAAGTGGGCTTCTCTCTTGGTCCTCAAGGTGGTTGCTACAACTGGGCTTCTCTCCTTCTTTCGGGCCTCCACTTTCACATGGCCCATTTTGTTTCCCTTTCCTTTTGGGCTCCCTATGCCCACGTTCGAAAGCTTATGTGATCACTTCTCTCCAAGCCATCCCTGCTTGGGACCGGTTCGTTGCTTTGTCCCGTTTGTGTGTAGAGGTCGGCCCTGATGGGACATCTTCTTTTTGTCTCTCCCCATATGCATCGCCTTTTCTTGGGTTCTTTTGAGGATTTTCTGAAGATTCCTAATGTGCTTAGCATGGCACATCGGGACCCGCCAGATTGCATGAAATTAGGCTGTGTTTATCGCTGCCCACGAGAATACGATCCCCTAGGTTTCCCAATTTTGGCTGCATGAATCCACTCGCCATAGTTTCTATTTTGACCAGCGGTCCCTCCGTCGACACCCTTATCTTTTTCACTGGGGGTCGCCGCCGCCGCTTCTGTTGTAGGCTGCACTTCCGGCACCAGTTTAGGGGTGACGAATACACAATCCCCTTCTAAATGTCCGACCCTTCCACACGCCATGCAAATGCAGCCCAGATTCTCATATTGTACAAGTTGGATCCTGTCTCTAATCTCGAATTGTGAAACGAGAGGGAGTGTTAGATCAATTTCCACTGCTAGTCTTGCAAATTTGGCTCTTGTTTTTGCAGCCGTCTGATGGTCAATGTGAATAACCTTGCCCACCAATTGGCTTATTCTTCTCAAAAAGGATTTGTTGTAATGATGCACTGGTAGCTAGGGCAATCTTGCCCACACTGTCATGAAATGCACTTTGTCAACTGCAGAGTCGATTTTGTTGGACCACAACTGAGTGTGAAGGTAATGATCTCCAATGAGCCACGGTCCTTTTGTCAGAACCATCTCCACATCCCTGGGGTTCAAAAAGGTTACTGAAAAGTAATCTCTTTCCATGTCCGCCACAACAAATCCGTCCGTATTTTGCCACATACCTTCAAGACGGTACTATAGTTGTGGTAGTGTAATCGCCCCGCCATAAGTTTAACGACAACTACATTCTGCCAACATTTTGCTAACTGTACTTCTACTCTGTCATGGACTATTGCCCTTGGGATAGGTCCGTCTTTAATTAGGACAACATCTTCTTCCAGGTTTGTAATTTCCTTGTCGTCACCAAACAGATCATGGAAAATTGGCCGTTTGCCTCCAAAAAGCTTTTCTCTGAAATTCATAGGATGGGGTGCATTCCCGGCCGGTTCGGATTCCGCTGATGAAGCAGCACTTCTGGGCGATGGAGCATCAGAAGGGGTGGTCCTTGCTTCTACTTTAATGCTTTCTGCACTGTTGGGTGGAGTTCCGTTGTCTTTGTATCTTGGCTTCTTAAGGGATCTGTCATCAAGGTGGGGTGGGTTATCCACTTTCAAGGACAAGTCCGGTGCTGGTGGTGGCGGGGGTTCGTGATTCTGTCCCCGTTCTTGGCCTATTGGCCATGACGTCATAGCGCTTGAGAGGATCTTTTTTAGAGAGAGGTTCTACAGAGAGGTACTTTCCGCTGTTAATATGGACATGATTCTGTTGGACCAAGCAAAATAAATATTTTTCTCCAAATAATTTCACTTTCATTCGCTCCCTTTTTTTCCTCTTTTTGGCTTCCAAGCTTTGTATGGTTATCAAACTACAGGGATTCCCTTGAGGGCTTACCATGATCTGGTGTTATCTGCTGCTGGTCACATGATACAACAAAGACAGAATGTGATGGCAAAGTTAAAAAACAACTTGGAGAAGGCTCAACAAAAGATGAAATATTTTGCTGATCAACTGAGAACTGAACGATCCTTCCAGGTTGGGGATTGGGTTTTGCTGAAATTACAATCATACAAACAGTAATCTGTGGTTAATAGGAGCTCAATAAAGTTGATGGTACGTTATTTTTGTCCCAATAAGGTGATTGAGAAGGTTGGGAATGCTTCTTATACAGGTTAGAGTTTCCAGTGTGGTCAAGAGTACACCCAGTTTTCCATGTCTCATTGATGAAGAAGTTTGTTGGAACCATTCCAACTCAAGTTTCAGACTTACCAGACTTGGAGGATGGTGAAGAGTGCTCACTAGATCCAGAAAGTATTTTGCAAAGGAGACTGATTCACGAAGGAGCTGATGAGGTCGTGCAGTGGTTGATCAAATGGAGAGGTTTTGAGGTTGAGAATGCTTCTTGGGAGGACATCGCCTTCCTAACAGACCAGTTTCCAACCTTCCAAACTTGAGACAAGTTTGATTTAAGGCAGGCGGATTGTAATGCCTGCCAAAATTCGGAAGCTGGTTGAAGTTTGAGTTTGAGAAAGCTGCACCAGACGACGTCGTTTTGTTTCCAATGTGCACATGCACGTTCTGTGTTTGTTGTTTTTGTTTTCTATCATTTTCGCATATAGTAGTATAAATGTTGGTGAGATTAAGTTGTATCGATTATTCTGGAACATAATACTCCCTCCGATCCTTGTTATAAGGCATTTTGATTTCGTTCTAGGTTAACCTATGATGTCTTTTTAATTGGAGAAAAAACCTTAAAAATATATTTCACATTCATTGTGTTCTCCTAATTATTATGAAATGTTTTTAAGATTTTTAATTCATTTAGAAAGACATCCTAGGTGAAACCTACACCTAGGATGAAATCAAAATGCCTTATAATAAGGACCGGAGGGAGTATCATTTGAATATTGATCTTTCTCTTTCCCAAATTCTCTTATTTCTCTTCCCTGTTACAATTCCTTTTCTCAAAACCCGAAGTCCGAATTTAAGTGAGATTCTGTCTAAATTCTCGAATCTTGATTCCAGTTTTGAGCTAGAACTTTCTGGGTCCTATCAACAGCAAAAACAAAAATGGCCCGTCCATGCAAATCTCTTATAAAAACTTAAAAAACATCCATAATGTTAAGTGTTAACCAAAAAAAAAATCTTAACCAAATAGAGGAAAAGAGAAAATGTTCAACAAAACTTCAAATTCAATACTGCTAAAAAAAACTTTAAACAAATAGAAGATTTTAACTCTTCGATCTATTGAACAAAAGATTTTGAAAAGTTCTAGTTTTAAGTTTCAACACTTTCTCTTCTTGCAAGCCTCCTAAGTCAACTACTTTCTCTTAGACGCCACAAAGACCGAGAGGCTTGTTTTGGCCTAAGTACCCTTCACCTGAAGTCAAACCATGGTTAGAACATGATATTATTGGAATATCATACCCTAGAAATGTATTGACTTAGTCAACTTCAGGCTTTAGCTCCCTTTTCTATCAAATAAAAAAAATAAAACAAAAAGAATAGAACAATTGTTACAGATAGAAGCAAGGTTCACAAAGTTGGGATTCTAACTAGAATCGTTTTAGGGTTAGAATCGCATGTCGTAGATCGTATCTTAGAATCGTAAGATTTTAAGAAAAGGTTGTCAAATTTGTTAGGGTGACAGTTATTATCATAAAAATTACTTATGTAATTTAAAAATTGCTTTCCAATGCCATCTATACCTTTTCAAATACTTTACTTAAATTTAGGTGTTACGCGTATCAATAGTTACAGCTTGGTAAACAAATACACAAAATCAAATATTTCAAATCACAAGTAAATACACAAATTCAACTCCAATAGTTTAACTAAAACATAAGACACTTACTATAGTCTCCCAAAAATCTATAATCAAATAGATCCTAAAAATATCAAACTAAAAGACCATATTAAAAATCAACTACAATTTCAAAACCAAATTACTCATCATCATCATCAAGATGATAATCACGACAAAAATCATTGGCACGCGGCACGCTTCAAATTCTGATCGGACACCTCAAGAAAGCTTGAATAAGAGTAGATTTATTTTAATTGCTTTGATTTGAGAGGTGAATTGTGAGTTTAGAGTTTATTAGGATTTCTATAGAATAAACGAAACGGTGTGTTTTTTTGACCGGGAGTGAGTGAAAGTGATGGCCGATGTATTATAGTTACTTTTTCAATTCATTAGTAATTTGTGCTTTTTACATGGTGTAAATCAAAAATTTATGGCCCAAAAAGTTCAATCCAACAATTTTAATTCAATAAAAAAGTCCAAAAGCACCCAACTAGTCAAATTTTTTAGAATAGTATAGAATGGTGAAATCATAAGATTTTAACAATTTTAAAGATTCTAGTGATTCTAGTATACACTGAGATTTTAGTAGACTTAGAATCGATGCATTACATTAAAATCGTAAAATTGTAAATTTTAAGACTTATAGTCGGGATTTTAAAAACATTGCATAGAAGTTCCCTTAGAATGTTATATGGAATATAATGCTAGTTTAGCCATTTCATTTCTGTTAAATTGTTGCTGCCATTATAGAAGAGAAAAATTTAATCCTTACCAATAAAAATGCTAGTGCAACCGTTTACACACAACACACGAAAAAAGAAGGTTGAAGAATCTCATTGTAATGCACGTTTTTGTTTCCATTTTATCCTTACCAATAAAAATGCTAGTGCAACCGTTTTGAAATCACATTGTTGAAGTTGTTACACACTCACACATTAAGGTAGCTACTCTTTATATTCCTTTGAAATCACATTGCTGAAGTTGTTTGTTACACACACTCACACAGTAAGGTGGCTACTCATCGATTTATGTTTCCCCTCCTTCTCGTAAATAACTAGCTACAAATCCACCACCCAAAACAGGCGTCATTTCCATACAAGCAATTATTAAGATCTAGCTTAATTCTTTCTTCATGGTCTTCACCTTCACACACACTAGCACACATTCAACTTCCAATTATCTTTTCTCTCTTCTTTCACCCCATTTAGCTAGCAATCAAGGCCGTTAAGACCATACTTGGAGTATTAGGTACATTTTTTCTCTCTCATTTAATTCAGTTCTTACTCTATAATCTAAAAATTTTGGATAATCTTATTGTATTCTTCTTCTACTATATAACCTTCTTGTTTATGTTTATTTTAATCCTCAGGTGACATCAGTGCCTTTCTCTTGTTTGTTTCCCCATTGTAAGTGCTTTTATCTCTGCCATAGTCGATTATTTTTTGTCTCTTCATTTTCATTTGTGTTTATGGTAGAAATTTTCCTTTCTCTTGTTTGTTTCCCTATTGTAAGTGCTTTTATCTCTGCCATAGTCAATTATCTTTCGTCTCTTCATTTTCATTTGTGTTTATAGTAGTAATTTTCATATTTGCTCAGTCTATGTGATCTTCTTCCTTTATGCATGTTGTTGTACAATTGTACTCATGAAGCTGTTGCTATACATTAGATAAAAAGAACAAATGATTTTCTATGATTTCATTCAATCTTTACATAGAAGCGGCTAGAAACTTAAATAGTTTAAATTCTAAAGTTTTATAATAATCTAACAAAATTGATTATTTTTTATGAGACGAGTGAAGTGAGATCAAAATGGAGTTAAAATAAGTCTTGTTTAATTGAATCAATCAGGATCGTACTGTGACTTGCGAGTATCAATCATAATTTGTGTGGTGAATTTGTTTGTACCTTAGTTGCCACTTTTTTGCTAGCTTGCCTCGGAAAAGAACAAATAAATGTTTTGAAGGCATGTAGAATAATTTTAAGTGTTCAAACAAAATTGATTATTTTTACTTGTTTTTTTAAGGCCGACGTTTAAGCAAATTCGTGAGAAGAAGTTGGTGGAGCAATTCACTCCGGCTCCATACTACATGGGCCTCATCAGTTGCATGATTGGGGTGTTATATGCACTCCCGATGGTTCAAGGAGAGAACACCCCGGTGCTAGTGCTGAATGGGGTTGGGGCAGCATTTATGCTATTTTATATGGCTGCGTTTATATATTATTGTCCCACATGGGGAGGGTGGAACAGGAGGAATTGGCTTCTCTTCATCATCGCTATCGAATTTGTGTTCGTCCTAGTTATTTCGGTTTCGATGCTACAGTTTGTGCACACCACCAAAATACGACGAATAGTTTGCGGTTACCTCTACACAATTGGCAACATCTTGCTTTATGTGTCTCCTTTGTCAATCATGGTTAGAAATTATTCTATAAGATATTTGATTTGTGTAAAACATTATAATTGGAAAACATAATATAACATGCGGTGTGTTAACTTTATTTTTTGAAGTTTGGGGTCTTTAAATATTAAATTGGTGTATTATTGGTCATATGTTTAGATGATAATAAGAAATTATATGATTCTCTTTTTAGGTGTCAGTGATCAAAACAAAAAATGCACAATATCTATCACCTTATTTGTCCTTGGCTTCCGTTGTCAATGGTAGATTTTGGCTAGCCTATGGAATAATGGATGATGTGAATTGGTTCATGATTGTAAGTTATTTTCCCCTTCATTCTTTAGCTACTTAATCAATTTAGTACTTTCTGCACATTAGTCTCTTTGTCTTTTTCTTTCTTATAATAAATCGTTGTTTGTTCCCGAAGGTCTCTAATGTGGTTGCATTCCTATGTGGACTTGTTCAATTGTGCCTCATTTTGAAGTAC